ACATGCCAAGAAATTCTGCGTATCTATGAACGAGCCGCCGCCACGACTAGAGTGATGTAGGAGCTTAGCCATGAGACCGATGGCTAGGCGGAGGAGAACTGGACTATCTGACGGATGTTTTGGCATGTGCGCAGCTACGAAAACCCAGACACCAAGAAGCATGAGGCTGTATGGATCAGCCGCGGACATCTCGGACAACGTGTATGTTAGACGGCGCTTTTGGGCCTCAGTACTTGAGCAATAGTGGAAGCGACAATGACTTAAGTTTCGAGGTTTAAACACAACTATGGCATATGCAGAACTTCTATACAATGAAATGATCAAAAGCGGTCTTTCTTGCCAAAGCGGGACCTATATTGTCCAGGCCAACGAGTAGCGCGTACACCATTCCATAAAGGAGCACGAAGAAGAGGTAATTGAAAGCAGTCTCGTTTGCAAGTGTTGTTATCCGATCGAATACCAACCGAACGCACAACTTATACTCTACCATGTGGTGCGCTACTTCACTCAGTCTTGTCGGATAGCCTTCTTCACTATGTTCCGCACGACCTCGATGTTTTTTCCCGAGTCATACCAAGCGGCACCAACGACTGCTTCCACAGTTGTTGCCATCGTATTTCTTGCCACTACTCCTTTTTGTGAAGCGTCCTTGAAGATATCGTCTCCGAAACACGCTTCATATCCTCGGTCACTCAGAAACTCGTTACAAGCGAATTTCTGCACACTCGCCTCGCATTGACCTACCTTTGGTGAGTCAACCGCCTGCTAAGAGAGATAGTGCACACTTACTGCGACTTCCTTGTCCAGTGTACCAATCATCCACAAAAATCAACCGTATCAGTGCGTCTCCAACCATAGCAAGAGCCTTGTTTGCACCATCGTGGGAAGATTGCTGAAAGATTTGTTCTTTGCTGCCCGCAGCGGTAAGGGCTTCTTTCAGAAGGTTTCTATCGTCAAAGTGGAAGCAAATTCGCTTTTCTACATTAGTTTTGGATTCCATGTAGACGGTATGATTACATGCCCCGTGGTGTGTCGAGGCAAGGAGAGATACTGAGGTGCGAGACTCGAATTGGGGATATTGGGCGGAGACTAAATCATGGACTTTGTTTTCAGATGCTGACGATGGCAACTCGGATAGTCTGAACGCAACACAGAAGCTGATTGGGCAGTCAGTCGCAAGCTTGTGCCAGAAAAAGCAATCCAGCTGCACTGACTCCCATGGCAACATTGATAGTTAATTGAGCAAGCAAATGCGTGGTCCAGATCAGCCAGGTATTGTCTCAGGCATACCGCGGATTGTCACAGACCTTGAATGCAGCGCGTTCTTGATGGCGAGGACAATCAAGCGGCTACTATCACAGATGGAACCAAGGACGCGGGTGGGAAGCCGGTGAACTACAAATAAGGGTGATGGAGACGTGCAAGGCGAAGCTAGAGATAGATCTTTCTGACGAGTTACACTGAACAGTGGAGCGACATCTTGTAAGTATCTAAGCACGATAGAGGATTCAGGGATAGTTTCAAGAGGGAGCAAAGGACTATAGGAAGATGAACAGGCCGCAGGATTCTGACAGCCTGGTAGTGTCGTCTAGCTTCCGTCCAATCGAGCTTGCCGTTTACGTCGCTCTTTGCGGCCCTGAGATGATAAGTGGGGCAGTTTTAAATGCGAGACTTCTAGCGATTGCTAACCACTACTGCTGCAATCTGAGGACCAGAAAATAAGATATCAGTCCCTGCACCCGCGCATAAGAATATATAGCAGGTTCGGGACTGTACAATAAGTCCAAAGTCTGATGCATATAGGCCCATCCAGAATGTCTTGTCGTAGAAGAAATTGGCCGAGGACTTGTTGTTGCCGCGGGTCGAGGTGTCGCTTGCTTCGGGCGTTGTCTCTGAGCGACCGATGGCGGAGTGCGGGGCTAGAGCATGATGCGGGAGATATTGAATAGTGTATTGCGACCAAGGGTGAAAAGGCCTCACTACACAAAAGCCAGTGTCTTCGGTCAGTATCATGACGTGCCACCGGGTTTGTCGATAGGCGTCCTACTCAAGCTGGTCAGCAAATGCCGCCTGTTTGTGCCGCCAGGCTTGTCCCGCAGTTGATTGTCTCTCCGCTACCAGTGCCGAGTCAAACCTATTGACGCTTAGGTCGATCTTGGCAGTTCAGCTCAGATTTACACGATTTCGTTCGGGTTCGCGCAATTTCTGTCGATTTCAGTACCTCCGACGATGGTCATCAAGTTCCGGGACACCAATGATGCATTCGAGGCCGAGGAAGTAGCGACGGTTCTATGTTGTGGCGTATGACTGCTCGATCGGCGTAGCTGAACATAGCTAACAGTATTTGCTACACATACCTGAAGTGTTTCGCCTGACTATGATTCAAGGCTGGAATAATTTAGGCGGTTGAGCGAGTACCGAAACACTTAGTTTGAGTGTCCACCTTGACCAAAGAACCCAACGACTAGTTCTGAAGTTACCCCCAATTGAATTCAAGCTGTTCTGGGCTTCTAGCCTCAAGACTGACGAATTTCTTCTTGTGTGGCCGATTTAACCAAAGAAAGGGGTTGACGCGTTTGTAGCACACTGAATTGGGAGGAACAGGCTTCTTCTCATGTGCGATTTTGACATGGCGGTCAAAGTGTATCCTGCTGGTGATAGCGTGTGAGCGGATTCAAGCTCACAAATGCACTCCAACAACGAATTAGCCGTGTGCAGCAAATGAACCACAAAATCCATGCCTTTGCATACCACAAAGCCCGACTTGTTCCTGCTCTAATTGAAAGTACCTGTTGATCTATCTTAGTATTCTGCTCTGATACGGTTCAAGTTGCCTTGGAAAAAATCCTGTGATCTTCTCCTTGATCTTGGTATCCGGTCTGCCTTTCCAGGGCTGCAGAAGCAGTGTCAGTCTTGACTTTCAAAATGAGACACTGCTGCAGCCCAGTTCTTGGATCAGTTGCGACACGGCCCGTAAGATCGCACATCAGCTTCTGCGAGAGGCTCGTATGCTGATATCGCGAACAATCGAGCCCAAGCTTCAGCAGAAGGTTCCCCTTCAGCGAACCCACTTTGAACTACAGGATTCAGCGCAGCGCTTTCCAGTCCGAGTCGCTTTTGACGTGTTTCCAGAGAGACTGCACTTCAGCCAAGATTTCTGCACTGCTCTCGAGCGTTTGATTCGTGTGCGAGCCCTTCCAAGTGGATGTTTTACCAACAGTAGCGAATTTTGTTCCGCACACGCGTGCTCTCATCCCATCCATGAATGTTGCAAGCCGCTCCGGACTACACCATTGAAGGATTTGGTCAACGGCTCGAACACCCGACTCCGTATGATATCGTTCGCTGTCAAAGTCTGACCTTTTTAGCATGTCCAGAAGCACGGCATCGGAGCCGTACAATGAGGCTATACTCAATGGATCATACAAACGAGGTTCAAATCCAAACCTCGCCTGTAACACGCAATCAGGTCGACGGTTTTGTTCGATCCAGTTGCAAAGTCTCATTGAGCCCCTTGAGCATATTCTTTCTATGCTCAACAGATCCGGAAGATACTTAGCACCGATGCTACCAAGGTGGTCGACCCAATGACATGACGCGTATACGAAAAATTCACCAAACCCACGTTCTGCGGGGTTATAGCGGATCATGTTGGCTTCCCACTCCTCCCAAGTGCAGTCCTTCGTGTATTGTTCGGCTCCTGCGATAGTATCATCGAAAAGGTCGGTATTTTGCGGCAACGCATCGATGGCGTAATCTTGCTCCGAGAGAAGGACATTCGTATCCATCTCTTCTAACATCAGGTACCTCATACATATATTCAGAATGCACTCTTCCATGTGCTGTGCCACCTGACCAACCAGCAATTTGCTGTTGGTGCATTTTCTTGCATGATCATGGCAGGGGTCCTGATACGGATTGAGCCTCTCGACTACGTATTCCTTGACTGATTGATGCACCAGTCGAATCTGGCGCCTTTTGCTGTCCTCATAATCGATCTGAGCGATAAATGGACGTATGCACTATAGCACTCTTTTCCCGTCTGCCATTGTCTCCAGCGCAGCGACAGTCTTTACATCCTGAGGGGCCGTGTCTAGAGCGACAGCAAAAGCCATTTCTGAAATACTAATAGGCCTGCGGACTGCCGCAAGAATCCTGAGGGCAGAAACAGCGAGACGACGAAGCTCGGATTTGTCAGAAGAGCATCGTGACAACATCCTATTATACAAATCGGAAAGCTGTGTAGGCAGGGCCATGTTCTCCAGACATCGTTCGATTTGCGGAAGAGTATTATGGTCTTCGACTTCAATTAGATCAACCATCATTCTGGTCCATATAGCACTGCTATGTGCTGTCTTTGAAAGAATTCCGCTGATGACTTCTCTAATGCCTAGGGCCAGATAGGGTAGCTGTTTATCAACAATGTGCTATGAAATAAGATGGTCTCTCCTTGAGTTGGCGGACAGCTTGATTATTTCCATAAAGTTCAGCAGCTCCAAGGTCTCTCCATCAGGCCGAGAAGATAGCAAAATCTTTAGTCTCGAATTTGCAGCAGCCAAAGATCTGAAGAGACTGACAAGTTTTCTCCTAGCTGGTCTGCCGCATTCGTCAAGCCCGTCGATCATTATGTAGAGTTGACGGTCCAGTGGGACTATCACCGTGCGTAGAAAGTCCTCTAGCATGCTTTCATCTTTGGCTGAATTCAGCCCAGATCCTAGCATCTGCTTATACTATTCGTAGAAGGTTAACTTTATCCCTGGAAATTGATCGAGCAGCTGCAGAATGAGAACAGAGAGTATATCAGTGACTTTTCCAGTCCAGTCATCGCGACAGTAATAGTAGCACATCTTGGGCTTAGGCAGCTAATACTCGTTTCTGCGCCTTAGCTCGTCGATTAAGAATGCAAAGAGCACAGATTTCCTATAGCCTATCTCTCCTAGTATAACTAGATGCTGAATTTTAGAAGAGCTAAACCATGCTATGAACGTCGCGTCGGTTAGCAGGAATTGGCAAGCTTGGTCGCTTAGTGAGACGGTTTTCATTGTCGTAGAGTTCTGAGCGTCAGATTCTGGACGACGCAGCTCGTGCAACTAAGCATGGCGCTCAGCCTGGTTGTCGATCTTGTCCTTGCCAAGCCACTAATAGACTGTAGGAATGTAAGCAAAAATAAAGCTATAGACAAGCGGATTGGCCGTACTCTCGAGTTGTGTAAGAATTTCCTTAATGTCTATTGTGATCTGCAATGTGGCTTTGTTAACAAGGCGGCCAAGATTGTTGGCATGCTTCAAGAAGTCCTGAACGATTTCTAGTAAGTGCTCCTTCTCCCAAATCATCGTTAGGAACAACTTGAGTCCTCTTCTTGTCAAGACATCGAGTGCCACGCTATAAAATTCCAGAATCTTTCCATAAACCGACACTAAAGCCTGTAATTAATTAGAACATCTCCATACATATCTGGTCCATCTTACCTTGTGTATATCCGACTGGTTTGTTTTACGACCAAGAGTATCACAGTTATCGATATATTTCATATAGTCTAGCATTTCCCTAACCTGCTTCGCGAAGTCCAAATCGGCGGTAGCAAGGCTGATAGCGATCTGGAACAGTGTCTATTAGTAACTCGTTGAATCCTGGACGGGCAGAGTCGAAGAGAAAAGCTGCGTTCTCCACCAAATACTTACTGCTATCACACTCCTAACAACACCAAAAACCGTCATAGTAGTTGGTTCGAGGGCTGTCAATGGCGATGCCAGATCTAATGCGAGCTTGAAATTCTCGAGTGGAACTTGGATGGATCGCAAGTACTTCACTCCTCTCAGAAAAACGTCCTCCTAGGTTGCTGCTTCGTTAATGTCCTCGAGGTTCTTAAACAACTTCGCGACGTCCTGGCCTTCGAATATGGAGACATCAACATGTTTCTTCACTTCCTCAACGGCTTCCCGGAATGCGGCGCTCCAAAGGTCCTCCGAGTTTGATGCAGTTCCATAAATCTTTGGGACACCTGTCGCAGTGATAAGTTCCTGCGAGCACACATTGGGAGCTGCATCACTACTACGTTCCGTTAGCACGGGAAGGCTCGTGCCATCCCTCTTCAGCGAAGCCGGAGCATTGACGTTCGTGCTTTGCTCATCGTCAATCGGCCTGTAAAATAGTCAGCGAGGATGATTAATTACGTGTCAGCGCACGAACGCTATTGACGGGCCTAATTCCGCTCTTGTCTTCTGGATAGACCGATCTTTATGTTCATCTATAGCGTGCCGAGGTTTCCGGCGGAACAGAGAGCGACAAAAAGAAGTGAAGCGCTCAGACCGTCGGCGTGAACGATATGCCATTTTGCAATACAACGAACATGTACATAGATTTTTGGAAGTTAAGGACCCTGTTTACATACAGGGACCGCGATGTTGTTTATACTCACACATGGTGCGGTGGGGCAGACTGGCACCGTGAGCCGCGCGCCTCGTGCCCCACGTTGGAGCCGCCGCCAGGCAGCCAATCAAAATCCCCAAGATAAGTGGATCATGCAATGTGACTGACTTGCTTCGTGCATATCGAGTTTGCTCCCGCGTCGCGTTGCTCTGGGTCTTGAGACAATCAGCCAAGTAGCAGGATTGATTTGAGCTGCAGTCGTTCACTCTTCTGGCATCTGCCTCACGACCTCTCACGTCGGTATGTTCTCAAGGTCGTCTGCGCCACGTCTGCGTAGCGCTGCGCTGGCTGCAGATGACTCCATTCGACTCTTTGCTGATTAGCATATCACAGAAGTGGTATCGCGAGAAGTACCGACAGCTGAAGAATACTGCTTGATTCCGCGTCTATCGTCACTCACCTTCGCGCGACCACGCTACCTGAGTCATCCTCTTTCTGGTTTCCTTCCATAAACCCTGATTCACGAGCGGAAGCCACAGTCGTGCCAGTGCCGATTCTACTGGACGTTCTCTAGCACCACGGAAGGTGAAGCGGCTGCGAAGGAGGAACATACTTTACAAACAGCAGACATGTCTGCGCCCAACGTTCTCAAACTGCCCCGCAAGATTCGTGATCGCATATTCGAGATGGTGCTACGAGTGCCCCATCCGATATACCTTTTCCAAGAGATGGAGGAGCTAGTAGAAGCATTTGCGCCCGAAAAGCCTATCCAATGGCTCGCAATGCTTTATACTAGCAAACAACTCGGAACCGAAGCAAGTGCTGTGCTATACGGCAGGAACAAATTCAGTCTCTTGGAGACGACGCCGAAGGAGAAGATTCTGCTGAAGACCTTCTTGCATGGGATAGGACTAGTAAACGCAAGCTCAATCTCACACATGTGTATTAGCTTCCCGTCTCTCGACAGTCAGGCTGATTATAGCCAGTTCCGAGAAGACAGTGCTGAAATTCTAGCGCTTCTCCGAGAGAAGTGTACTAGGCTAAAGGCGCTGGAACTTCTTATGCATAGTAAGAATTGCGGCGGATGGACTAGTACTACTGAAAACACAATAGATAACATTGGGGGTGCATTACCCTATATCGACCGGCAGCTGAACACCATCAATGGTAGAATCCAGATATCTGTAAGAGTCTACAGTGGAACTCTACACCCCCTGGTATCTGCTACTATGCAGGACTTGGGATGGCTCATACTGGCCCGAGAATAACAGACAATCTCAACTGAAAAATCATTCAGACGTGCATTATTCCAGACAACCCCAACTCGTCCATGCCTGTTCCGCGAGCTCCCTCATTTGCAATGCCTTCCTGAAAAAGAAACCGCAAAACGGTGAACATAGATGAGGAGCATAACATTCAAGTGACATATCACTACAGTCCTTACTAATTCACGTCCAAGCTCTGCGATCCGAATATGAGAAAGGTCCTTGAACGACTCCAGTTGCCTGCATCCGCATAACAAGCTGATCATATCAAATTTGGTCCTGATTATAAGGTAAATCACGACTTGCTGATACAACTCGGTAAGCAGGACATTATTAGCCAAGTGCGATCGCTGGCTAGTCGCAGAGTCATAGCCAGTCGCTGGATCCTGTTCTTGAGCCCTTCCGGTTCGACCGAAGCGGTGCCTGATGTAGGAAAGGCTGAGGGCCAGTGGTAGAAATCTTTGTGCAAGGATCAGCTGGAAGGCGAGCGACAGAATGATGGCAAATGTCAAAACTTCGTATTATCAGAGATGGTCAAGAGAACTACTAAGTTATGTGCTCAAGTCTACATTCCGCGACTCAGGGATTCCTTCAGGAAGGGACTGGGGTTAGCTGCAGAGATGCAACGCTGAAGAGCATTATTCTGCACGAAATTGTGAATTCCCGAATTGAGGCAGGAAAATAGCAGACGGGCAAAGTGGAATGGATGCCTAATGCCAGGATATGGGTTCTGCAGATGGACCGAAATCCAGACACCAGGCTATGTACAGATGAAATTGGGATTGCGAGCCTTCTCCTGTGAGATAACAGGGAGGGCCAGCGGACCCATATTTAAGGCAGACAAACGTGACAGACAGCGACTAGAGATTTCGCGGGTCCCTGACAGCAGATATCGTGACCAAGTGAGTTGCGGACAAGAGTCCATTCGGCTTAATAGCATGGTAGAAAATGATCCGTTGTGCAGATTCTTCTCCATGTGCCGGTTGGCCACAAAGCAATGATCAGCATGATGGAAATTGATTGTGCAAGCAAGCGGGATGGGGAGATTCGACGCTTGAAAAACAGGAAAGGCTTCCAGCAGTAGTAGTATGCCAAGAACAGAATTTCCAGCTGATCCGCAGACTGTTGTCACCTGGACGAGGGCGACAAACTAGATCACTGCAAGGGCGGCCTTACATTTCCATAAATAGCAGATGGCGCGGCGCAGCGTACCAGAAGTGATTGCTGTGGACGTGTGTAGCAAGGAGAGACGATAGGCTTGCCTCGAATTAATTGTCGTACAGCTCAACAGATCGAAGACCGGAATGTCGCATTTCCGAACTTGCACATATCCGGCTCACTATTTTCGGAAGTCGTTCTGCGCCAGGCAGCAATGCATAAGTGTGTGAGTACTGAGTATTATATTCGTTTCAGGACATCGGCCCGTATCAAGCGAGTTGTCTTCATTGGTCTAGTGGTCATGGTAAGTCATCGATAAAAACTTAGCGTACGATGTGAATCTCATTCTTGCAACAGATTTCCGCTTGTCAGCAAAAGCTCTCTCTGAGGGCAGCCACAAGCGCGGGAGACCAGGGTTCGATTCCCTGATGGAGAGTCAATTTTTTGCTTCAAACGGCTCTAATTGCGATCATTTTTGGACCCCGTAGTGTGCTGATAGAGGTGGAAGTGCATATGAATCACATTTTTCGCACGCGACATTTCGGCCCGTGCCGCTCACGGTGGACCATTCTCTTCTCCATTCGTACTCCGAACCGCAGGCTGTTCTTTCTGGCTCTCTAGAAGCACTGGAAAATAGACTGCGATGAGAGCGTAGTGTCGACTTTATCGAGAGGGAGACGATTCTTTTGGCTGGCCGGATCGTCGGTTGAATGCTTGGCAATCTTCGCGATGCTGCGCCGCAGACTGGCTAGGAAACCTAACAGGCCTCTGATCTGTCTTGAGAGGCAAGGCTATGGTGAGAAGCAGAAATGAGCCGTTCAGACGTAAACTAATTGTGTTTGTTAACCGGTGATGTTCTTCCCAACTTCAGTAATGCCGGCTGGTGTCTGCCCTCTAGCGACGCGACCGCGTCAGCAGTTGAGACTTCTGTCTGTAATGTTCTGAATTTCAGCTTTTGATATCAGTACTAAAGTTCAATACCCTATCATGCCGTTGATAAAGCTCGTCAGGACCCAGCTGTACTCCAGATACTCCAGCACCTTGAGCAAGCCCTCAGTCTTACGTTCAGCCTCGTTGTAGTCTCCCATTTTGGGCAGTGGGATGCGAGTGATATTCTTGCCGTCCTTTGGTGCCCAGTAATTCTTGATGTGACCTCGAGTAAATAGCACCAGCACGACCAGGGCAGGAGACGTAGTCATACGCATCAATTTGGGTAGCGAATCTGCGAAGAAGGCGAGGCTGAAAGATCCGATGAAAGAGGCCAATATCTAGTTACAATAAGCTTTAGAACGTGGAACCGCTGTGACTCTACATACTGCCAGAGCTCCCGACGCTTGAGTTGTTCTTGTCTTCCATAACTGGTTCTCTGCTTCTTTTGACCATTCGGCAAGCTTCTTGGATGTTGCCTCGTACTTTTGCAGGTTGGTTATGGCAACGTATGATAAGGCACCGCCATAGAGGCAGTAAACGAATTGGAGGAGGTGCGGCCCTCGCAAGATGATCTCTCTGCCGGTAAAGCTGGACATGTCGAAGTGATCAATAGAAGCCATTCGAAGATGAGTGTTCTGGTTGATGGTTGTAACTGGGTTCGACCTGGATTGGCTGGCTCGGATGACGTCGCAGCACGAGGGCAGCGCCAAGTCTTCAGCGCGGGAGCTGCCTTCCTGTGTTTACACTCACGGCACGACACGACAGTCGCGCGACAACGCGTGCACCGCCGCAACAACCACCGCCCGCCGTTTCTCTCACTCCACCCTTTTGGCGCATTGGACTATTTCGGTTGGAAAAGCTGGCGCGGGGCAAAGAAAACCAACCGCCGAGTGCTATGGCGCCTGCCGCGAAGAATGGGACACCAGGACGCCGCAAGAAGACGGGTCAGCAGTACTTCGATGTGGGCAAAGTTGGACGGTACGCGGCAACGACGACCTGTACAGAGCGCGCATCACTGATGTGTGCATAGGAGAACGGGCATCACATTGCAAGACACTGGGCTTAGAGATGAGCATGGACTTGAGCCTGTCTCTGGCATATTCTCTTCGCCGACTTCCCCAGAGCAAAATGGCAGCAGGACAATTCTCACCAGCGAGGGCATGGACGTAGAGGATAGTGCGTATATCAAGGAAGAGGAAGATGAGGAAGATTTGCTTACCCGACATGCCTTCTCAGGCTCAGCACCCGACGTAACGACAACACTAGGCAAGCGCAAAACACCTCGACTACCTCCCGCGCGACAATCGCCGCTGAAACGAACCAGCATTGGAGGCTCACCGCGCCGAATGAGTTCAGTGCGCCCGCAGTCTCGACCTGGTATCTCAGAAGAGCCTGCAAGCTCTCCTCGCGACGGCAGAGAACCCGCAGTAAATCGCAAGCTTCAGTTCGAGACTGTCAACCGCAATCGAAAGAGCATCCATGTCGCAGACGCCCAAAGTCCTTTCAAGCCACGGCACAAGCTACGAAGATCGACTGGCCCAGGCAGACCAGATGTTTATGAGTACGAGGACGATGTCGATGAAGTCCGCGCTACTTCTGTTGAACCACCGAACGGCATCATTGGCGAGGACGAAAGTGTGGAGCAGTCAATCGAGGAAGACGATGATCAACATCTAATGTTCGACGATGAAGTGCCTGAGGCAATAGAGCCAGAGCGAACAGCTATCAGTATTCATGAAGCTGATGAGGGTTCGAAGCGGAAGCGAGGACGACCACGAAAATCAGACCAATCCAATACGAGCCAACTACCTCTTTCGCCTGCTGTGGCATCACCCTCGGGCTCGAAACGTCCACGGACAAGTCTGAACAGCGCGCAAGTAGAAGAAGAACAGCTGAGCCGGCCTTCGAAAAAGAAGCGCACATCTAACATTGCAGTACATCACGAAGATGCCGAAGTGGAGGCCGGGCCATCTACTATTCGGTACGAAGACGAATATTTGGCGACCGGCGATGACGATGAGCATCACCAACCTCTCCTGGATTCTCAATTACACACGCAGCCAGAGCCCGAGAACGATGCGGAGCCGGCGAGGAAGGGTAAAGGGAAGGGCAAAGGCAAGAAAGGAAAGTCGGCCGCGTTGAAAGAAAGCGATTCGAATCGTGCAATTCAGCGCAATGGAAGCCCCGTCCGGCCTAGTGGCTCACCAGCTAAAGGCCGTGGTGCGAGTATGGGTCCTGTTAGCAATGTCAACCTACGAGCGCACACGCCCGCTGCCGATGCGCACGAACAGACTTCGCGTTCAGGGAGAAATCTCATTCAGCCCCTGAAATTCTGGGAAAACGAAGGCCGGATATGGAGAAATGGCGAAATCGAGGGCATCATCCGAGCTGAACCTGTTCAGGTGTCAAGACCACGAGCTAAAAAGAGAAAGAAGAGCCGCAAGCATGGTAGTCGACTGCGGGATATCGAAGAGGAAAGTGAAACAGAGTCCACTGTGCCTGATGAATGGGAAGAACTAGCCGGCGTGATTACCGGGAATGTTGCCAATTGGAACACGGAGACGAACGCAGGAGACCCAGAAGACCCCATCCAGGAAGGTGAGTTTTACATACGGTTGCCTAGTGGGTTGAGACATCTTTAACTAACGGATCTTGCAGACCTTGCTTTTGCGGCATCTTCGATCGTGACGAAAGATGTCCCTGGCTCCGATTTCAGATATGCCAAGATCATGACCCTACCATTCTTCGGCGCTGGCGTAGTCGAGCTACCGCCGGAAGGCTTCAAGCGCGCCAAGAACAGCCGAAAGATGCAGATGGTGTTCTTCGTGCACGAAGGTAAAATTATGGTTGAAGTTGGCGCCACTGGGATGGAGGTCAACCAGTTTGCAATCAGCAAGGGTGGATGTTGGGTCGTTCCTCGAGGTAAGCCTATTCTCTTCTCTTTCTCTCTCACTCTTGCACAAAAATCCCGGAAACCATGGCAGTGACACGCCAATACTTGATTCCTGCTCCGCCCTGCTGCGAATATCCCGGACCACATGGCAGCGATCCGCAAACGTTCAATATCTGGAATCGCCAACTGGTCTGCTGGACAGTGGTGCCAAGCCCTCAAACTGCTGGAATTGACTGCAGTGACAAGCGGAAATCATGGCCCTTAGACCAACGAAGAGCTCGCTACAGGACGCTCGCTAGACTGCTCGCTTGACTGAATGACAAGAAGACACAACACATGTGGGGCTGCGATCTCTCCGAACAATAGGCCCCACACTCGGCTGGGCTTCGGCCTCGCATTGAATCGTCAGCAAACAACTCCCAGCCGACATTCTTGGTTCAGACTGCCTCGATCCCGGATGGCGGTCAGCTCACCGCAAGGACGACCATACAATTGTATTGTTGTCGAGGACTTTGCAGCTGCAGCTTCCCCGTGTCGCCGTCCGAGAGCCGCGCTTAGCTCTCGATATCATGGCGGTGTGTGTGTGTGCAACGGACGCTGTCAGAATAACGCTCAGTGGTACAAGCACACAGCGCGAGCTGCTGCCCAACCCAACACGACATGCCGCTCATGCCGGTGCGAACCGTCCTGCAGTGCAGTGTTGAAGACTGGTTCGAGCGTGGGGGTGCCGTCGCTGCAGTGCGACGGAACTGTCGCTCGCCTGTCGACAGGATGAGACAACGCATCTCCATCCAGGATCAGGAACTGAACCAAGAGATTTGCTCGCGCCGGGGCCCGGTTCCTGCTCTCAGCTTCAGGAACGCCATGCTTGGATTTTCGTACTCAATGAGGCGTACGGGTGGATCTGCCGGACTTCCGCCTATTTAAAAAGAGTGGGCAGCAACTTCCTGGGCCCCGGTTTGCTTTGCGCCCTTCGTGCAACGTTACAGCGCAGGTCCAACCGAGTGTAGACGTCCTCGTGCGGCGTGGGACCCCATCGGTTCATCACGCTTAGGTCACACTGTTCGCATGCGCGGCGCTTGGGATCCATCACCCACATCATCACACACACATACATCATCTACTTGATTAGCTTTGTGGTGGCGAATGCTGACGATTCCTTTGCTACTCTACAGGAAACAATTATGCGATTACGAATGAAAGCAGAACCAAGACTGCGCGGATATTCTTTGCACAGGGTTGTGAGGTTGAGAGTGGTGGGAGAAGCGGGTGATGCGTTGTTCAATTTTTGACTGTTGCGCGTCACTCTTTCTCGTCCACCAGCCCTTTCCATGCGAAAGCTGCATTGGGTTGCTCCAACTTGTGATTCGAACAGCACCTTCTTCAGGAAAATCTAGTGCCTCGATTCGCGGCGTTGCCAGCTGTTCTTTGTTGGATTAAACTTGAATTGCAGGCATGAAGATGCGATTTCCAGCGGAGCGGTCTTTTCCCACAATTGACACTTGACAACGCGGGAGAATTGACTCGCAGAGAGGAAAGAGGAAGAGGAAGAGGAAGCATGGCAAGGAAATTTGGCATTGACAAGCAACAAAGCTTACGATCATGACTTGAGAGAGCTTGAGATTTCTAGATACCCACGACATGAGAAACTTGCCGTTGTTTTTTGCTGGACGCCTTATTACTATTGAAACTTCACCCTTGTGTTGTTCCTACATGTTATGAAGTGGTTCGTGTGATGAGTTTGAGTCGCTTGATTCTCGAACCGCAAATGTCTGACTCTCGCATCATCACATCACCCAAGTTCTCGGGAAGTTGGAGTAGAACGTGGCAGGGGTTTCAAGTTCATCAATACTCCGAAATGCAATTTGCGTCTTCCTAGTTGAGCGTCGTTTCCGTACTTTGCCCATTTTGCTGGTGTCGCATTATGAGATTCGACCAGGAGCGTAGGTCTTGCACCAGGAGTTCGTATCATCAGCTGATAACATTGAAGGATGGAGGAGCATCGGATCTTTTTGACTGGGTTGTTGCCAAGTCGCCAATCTGTCTTCATCCCATGCTCATGCGATGCTGACTTGATTCACCGAAGAAGGACCTTGAAGAGCGAAGTTGAGTCGTCGGGGTTGATCAGTGATAAAGATATTATTATTATTTGGAAAATGGAGAGGGTTTGTTCCTGGGGCAAAGGGCTGTGACATGCAAGGCTGCTCCGCACGTGCGCGTGCATAGCACATTGAATGCAATGTCATGTCGAGTGCGAGCTTTCCGAACGTGCTGCTCACCGACAGTTGGGATAATTTAGACTTTGTGCGTCGTTCGAGTAGCATTCTGCTCACCGATTCATTGCAACGTGTCTTCGTGATTGCGCACTTTCCTGTTGTACGACTCAGTGGTGTTAAGCATAATCCTCGTGTGCTCGCGACTCATGTATGTGCAGCACGGTCCGAGGACTAGCGCCGACCGGGCCTTGTCTGCAGGACATGCCGATTTGTATTGCGATCGCTTCTGCAGCGAGCAATTCCGAAGTGCATTGATGTGGAAATGAATTTCACTGTATGCACTGTTTGGTCGTCACCGTCTTATGCCGGCGGCCGAGAAATACCAGGAGTATGCATCCTGCAATTGCAAATGCCAGGTTGACTTGTCGAATGCTGGGAACTGATACTCGAACTAGGAGAATTGATCATATGTGCTTGCCTTTGTGCATGGTCTGGGTCGGCTACTTGCGCACAGCAAAGCGGAGATCCGCATGTTTTGATCTCTCTTCGTGCGTGATTCACCGCCTGCCTCGATCCTTGAGACAGGGTGCCTCAGATGCGCTGCATACGACAGAGATACTGCTGGTATATCGGTCGTGCGGTAAAGATTCCGCCATGGGCATTGTGAGACCTCCGTTGCATCGCGCCAACTATCAGCGCTCCACACATGGTCAGGATCAGCAGAAATCCTTTGGCTGTACGGCCGTGTAGCCCATGCACTGCCTTGTCAAGACTGTCAAACATGCTTGGTCCATCCGTGTGGTTGTGACAAGCAGGGTTTGCCCAGTAAAGACGAAGCATTGACGTCCCTTACGCCTTCTGCGCTGGCACGACCTGCTGCTCGCGTGGGCACTACTGGATCTGAAACCTGCTCGACGCCGATACACAACGGATCCCGGCATTGGTAGCATTCCAAATGGCGGTGTCGCCGAAGGGTGAGACCAGTTGCGAGTCGCTCAAAATTCATCATCTTCATCAGCGAACTCGTCCAGAACGGGGAAATCTCCGACTTCAACACGCTCGGGCCTTACGAACACACCACAATTTGGCTGACATTCGAAGTAGCGCTGGCCCTCCACACTGCCATCATTCTTACCGGTAGGCTCATCGAGTTGAATGCCAACCCAGGCACCAATGCCGCCCGGGATCTCCGGTACGTCGCCGACAAACTGCACAGTGCCGCGTCTATGGTCGGTCTCCGGCAGCAGACGACATCGGGCGCCTTGCTTGATGTGGCGGGAGTCGACCTCACGGTACGAAGCGTCGATCTTTTGCTGTTCAATGTTCGGGGCATCAGGATCGAAGCGGCCCAGTTTGCGGGCTTTCTTCCATGCCAGCACGCTGTCCGTGCGGCTCTCGTACTCATCCTGGGGCATTTCATACTTCTGTACGGAAGACACGTCGGTATAGTTGGTCCTCGAGCCGGGCGGCCGGGTATCAGTGACCTAGCATGAGCGATCAGCAGATGAATCCTGGGAGTGGTAGGTGCCAAGGCGATCGATGCTTTGCAGCCATGGGCTCAACACGCTGCAGTGCATGATGTTCCGCCCCTTATAATAGCTGGTCATGCCACCGGCGAATTCCAGTGGCCGGTGCGGAGAGGGTTGCAAAGGGTACCACGAGAGTGGTTCAGCGGCGATATTGCAGAAGGTGATGGGGGATGCGATGAGACACGCGGGCTCGAGTTTACGCACCAGCAGTTCTGCGTATGCTTGAAGCGGCCATGCAGCTATTTGCGTGGTTTCCTCATCTGCAGGCTCGATGGGCTGTGGTGGCTGAGAAGCAACGTGCAGGCTCAGACGTTGACAAGACGCCGGAACGCCCGTGATAGGCTCGAGACGCGCTTTGAGCTGGGCAACGGTCCACGCTGGAGAGATGCGGCGTTCAGAGGAGGAATTCTCCGATTTAATGAGCAGGGGCACATCGGCGGCGGACGCGGCCATGATGCTGGGATGGGAGTCGGAGGTGGAGGGATGGCGTCGACGCGTGCGGACAGTGGACAGCGGCGCTTGGATGAGCAGATGACGCGGCGGACGTTGTGATGGATTCAGGACGGTGATGGAGGAGAGGCTGCCGATTGTGGGTTGGAGGTGAAGTGGGCTGCACGAGCCATGTGCGCGGCGGGCCAGTCACGCAGCGCGCAAGTGGATGCGAGTGCTCGATTCGACAGCGCGGCCTGCGAGCGGATGAGCCGCCGGTGCATGCTCGTTGCGAACGGCGGCAGATGGGGCAGTCACGCTCTTATCACTGGTGTTATTAGGGCACGCCGGGAAGTGCAGAACCGACCAGCAGCAGGCGCGATGAGACGATGCAGAAAGACATGAGGCTCAATTCATCTGTCGTCATGTGCTCTGTCTGCACAGCATAGCACAGCACAGCACAGCACAGCACAGCACAGCACGATCTGTCGTTGGCCACGCATCTCCGAGCACACCGCCAGAAGCGCGTGCATCGGACTAAAATAGAGCTGCGCGCAAGTGGGCAGGGAATCCCTCGAAGGGAACATGTTCGCCGATTGTTCGGCGCTCTCTAGCATAGCCTGGTCGGCTGTAGCGCCAACCATCCTGCCGCAGCGCGCTTCGTCGACGTGCTGCGCTGCTGCTGCAACGAGAGCCGGCCACGTCGACCATTGTGATGAGCCTGACCATGGCCAGCCAGCCAGCCCCGCCGTGCTCGCCCGCAGGAAGTCCACCGCCCTCGCCGCCACCGCCCCAGCGTCCCATCGCCCGCCTGCACGCAGCAACTCGCCGGGCATCG